TTTTTGTGAATACTAACAAGCAAATCAACGATCGATTCAACACACACATCGACAAAATCTTTCACGTGTGAGCATCGCCTAACACGCTCATGGATTACTGTGGGTATGAATGAAATCGCGCGTGGCGCGTCCTCGTGGTGGGAGCCGCTAAGCATGCGTTGCGTAATGTTGCACGTGTGGGTGGTAGCGTGTGGGAACGCAGACAGTAAGGAGAAAACGTGTGTACCAGGAGTAAACGAGAAACACGCGAACGGAGCCGGCGTAGGCGGAGTCGCTCACAACATCGTCTTCGCTCGCACATGCGCCTTATTAAGGTGCCTCCCACAACGACTCGATCGTTCGAATTATTGAGAATCCACTTCGCAAACCACGATTACTATGACCCTTATCGCATATCTCCTTATTAGTGTGTCTAACGATCCTTCTTTCGTTTTTTTCTTATGCCGAGTCTTATGCCAATCCTTTGACAAATTGTGCCTCCGTCAATTCCTCTTTCTTTCCTCCTTCGTGTAACGAATGCGGCTCTTAACCTGCGGAAAATATATAGTCACCTAATTGGTTTTTTAGGTAAACATTCGCACTTCTGAGATGTTTTTATACTTCCATTAAAATCGCTATTATTAAAAACATATTGCAGAATTATTGATTGTTTTCCGATTTATTTATAATATTGTATTTGAGAACATTGTACAGGGTGGCATTAAATTATCGCATCATCCATCTTGAATAGGTAGAGTGGACTAAATTGAATCGAAAAGTCCTGTACCATTTTGCAATATTCGCAATAGTTAACGAGATATTAATTATTAAAAATCGCTAAATATTAGTCTTCAATAATTTTTTACTCAAATACTATTAACTTTACAGAAAACTAGTAAAAGATAAAAATTATTTATTTTCTTTTCATAAAGTTCTGAGAATTTTTTCAGAATTTTTTAATATTTTCTCATGTTGGCAAAAATAAGAAAATGCACTACTAAAAAGTTAATAAAAAATTCTGAAAAAATTTTTAGAGTTCTATGAGAAGAAAACAAATGATTTTTCTTGCAATTTTTCTGTAAAATTGATAGTATTTGAATAAAAAATTATTGAAGACCAATGTTTAGCGATATTTGATAAATAATATCTCATTAACCATTGCGAAAATTGCAAAATAGTAAAGGACTTTTCGACTTAGTTTAGCCTGTATTTGCTCACGATGGTGGTGCGGTAATTTAATGCAACTCTGCAGATATGAATTTATAATTACAATTTCTAAAAAGAATAAGTAGAAATCCTGACTGAAGTAAAATTTAATTTAAATTAAATTTAAATTAAAAATATATGATGTATTCATAACATCTGACTTTGATCAATTATTGGCGTTCTCTCTCATACTTATGAATAAGTAGAAACTTAACCATTATTAAACGGAATAAGAATATTAAGTAGTTTATTGTGTCAGTATTTTTAAAAAAATAAAGATTTTTTAAATTATAATATAACGCTTTTTATTGTTTGTTGTCCATCGAATTTTTGATGAAATTATATATTTAAAAATTCAAAGAATAGTTATGAAAAAAGAAAGAAAATGTATTAAACAATATCCATTCAAAATAATATTTTCATATTTTTCGCTGAGATGTAAGATACTTCTGATGATTATTCCCGTAACGGGATTCAAGAAGTCTCGTCGATAAGATGTAAAATCGTGAGAGCACAGATATAATTGTAGACAAAGGCACTATCGCAGATCGCAGTTATTCAAGATAACTCGTGCATGCTCGGACGTGCGTGCCTAAGACGATCTCTAAGGCCAATCCCCCCACCCTCTCTCTCTCTCTCTCTCATTTTTTTTATTACTTCGATTTACGGTTTTGTCTTGGCAGCACAGATCGCATGGTTTTCGACTCGATCAGAATCGAGTAAACTCGTTCGCATGATCCGGTCCACTTCGGCGTTAGATCGATCGAGCGATGATACCACAAACTATAATATAGAAATCATTAGACCGTCGCGCTAATGACAGATCTACCACAAAAATGTAGCAAAACCAGATTACGCTGAAGTTAGCTAAAATAAATACAATTTAAATGATTGTAAAAAAAAAATTTTTTAATATCAAGAGAGATTAATTACATTATTTATCATAATTTTATCATAATTTTCGGCATAGCTTTGTAGCTGCATAAACAAAAATTCGGTTAATATAAACTTTATCTGAGAGAAACTAGGTGAAAACAGTTTCGTGATATTTTGTTCGGTTTAAAAATATTTCACACTGTTAAAATTCATAATGTTTAATTATATCCAATTTTAACTATTTTTAATCATTTCTATAAGTCGGCATTGTTTCTCACTCAATATATATTAATTTAAATAAAACAATGTGGAATTAAACAAATTTAAATCAAAAAAATGTATTAAATTTGACTTAAATTTAGTTTATTATTTATTTTGTGCATTAATGTGGATATTGTTTACTTGGAAAATGACTACAGAAATGGACTGTTTTACATTTAACATATATAGAAATTAAAAATAACAAAATGTTATTTTAGCAATTGGATTATTATTAATCCTTTGACATCTAACAGTCGTGTTAGTTGGGAGAATTCCATTCTATATTGTCCGATGAAATCATTAAATAGTCTCGCAACCTATTCTAAAGTTTGGCAGTGTGATACGTGTATAAATAATGCACACGTCACTGCAGGAATTATAAGCAACATATCGATCGGAGCGTTGGAGATGGTAAAAAATAAAAAGGAAGAAGAAAAGAGAGGAAAGGCCTCGGAGACCACCTAATGCCACGATCGCAATGAGATAAATAATCACGATGGGTGGGCGCTGGCGCCTTCCTGAGCACGGCTTTCGAGTTAGGACCGCGCACCTTATGGAAGCCCATAGGGTGCCGTGCTCTCCGTCATTGCGTACCCCATAAGGTGGTACAGAGCTCCAGCCGCGTGTGAGAATCCATTCCGCGCGATTTCACAGGACTTGCGGGGGGGCCCCTCTTCCTTACCACCGAAATTCACCTTTTTTACTCCCCCCCCCCCCCCCCCCGACAGCCTCTTTTCTTTTCTACGCTTCTTCGTGTTTGAAGTCTCAAGAACCCTATCGCGTAAACTCGAGCCTCCTCGTGACGGGCGAGTGCTGTCAAAATGAAAAATTAGGCTGTGTAAAGTATGTCTTTATTCGGCGTCTATATTCCAGTAACATTGGAATTATGAATGGGAACGTAATTGTTATATAATACAAGAGAGTTTGATTTCTATTTCTCAACAGCTGATGATTCTTATGTATTTTTAACTGCTTAAAACAGTTCCATCATTTTCACATATTTTGAGAAATCAAGGATATTATTTTTAAAAAGAACTATGAATTTAAATAATTTACAATTTTTTACTTCATTTATAAATCACGGAATAAAATACATCGGAATCATCATAGAATTCTTATACTCTTCAAAAGGAAGCTGAAATTCTAATCAAAACTTAAGAATTGAAATTTTGTACGTTTATGAATTTATACTATATATTACATATATAAGAAATTCAAAGCGAGAGATTCTAAAAATTGAAAGGTAATGTATTTTTTTGAAAATCATAATCTTTTTCAGTATAAAAGCCCTATAAAAGAAAGATTAATTATCATTGAGGAACAAAAATATTAATCAAAATTTGTTATAATTATTCGATTTTACCAAACCATTCATAATAATGTAATAATATTCCAACAAATTTTATCTATACTTTTAAATAATTTCAATACCAACTTAGATACTTCATTTTACTTAACGCAGTTCACAGAACTTGGTCGTCAACGCGAGTAATTTTCTCTGCGCAAAGTAGAGGCTTATTTTCTACGGCGCTAACCGAACGGTAACGGCACTTTTTCGTGGTCGAATACCCTGTTGAAAGTTTCCTGACCGGCGCTTTTGTAGCATTAGCCGCGGGTAACGACTCGCCTTGCGTACGAAATCGCCGTGAATTCGACAAGCGGAGAGTTTGATTGTTCGCGCGAATCGCAACACTGGGTGCGAAGAAGTGGAGTCGGAAAAAGCGATTGCACGCGATTTAAAAGCTCCAATGATCGAGACGGTCGTTATTCGCGACGTCATATAAAATAGGAGACTTAATAATAAATATTAGGAGACCTAGTAATAAAAAGGAGAAATAAAGTAACTACTAATTTAATTAAAGCAATTTGGTAAATTACTAGAAACTTACTTTTCTGCATTCTGGATGCAATTATAATAATTCACTAAAACGCAAGCAATCTAGCAAGAAAACAAGTATCGTGTGTCGCAGGCTTAATATAATCAATCGAGAAGAAAATGCACTTCTATAAGTCGGTTTTATCTTCATTATTTAAAAAAATCAATAGAAAGTAGACATAAAAGAGCTCAAATAAATTAAAAACGAAATAAAAACGATATAATAGGCTACAAACAACATTTGTTTTTTTATTACATTTGTATTTATTACATAATATTTATTATATAATAAATATAATAAATACTTATTTATGTTATTATATAAATTTTAGCATCGAAATCTTATCGATACGTATAATAGCATCGTATTATTTTTATTTTACTTTTTTTCTTTATTTCTTCTTTCTTTAAAAAAAAAACCTAATATCTATTTTGTCATAATTATTGTTTTCCTCAGTAGAGATATAAAATCGTCAAAAAGAAAGTTCCTAACCTCGAGATGATTCTCATGCCGAGCTGATCCTCGCGGACCTAAGCGTTCTCATCGGGGTCTGCGCGCGTGCGAGGTGGAGGATTAGGTGGAGGAGCCGGTTACGAGAAAGGTTAAATAGGTGTCGGGTGGCGGTAGTTCTCGAAAGGTGGGTGTACTCGTTAGTGTGTGAGCCCGCCTACCGTCCAATACCGTGGCTGGTTTCCCAGAGGACTCCCTGGTCTCTCTCATGTGGCTTTTCGTGGTCCCCTCTCTTTCCTTCTTCCTGCCGTCGTTTTCTGCCGGCACCACTTCACTGGAGAACTTCGACCATGTACGTGTGTGCGTACGTATGTGCCTGCGTTACGTGTGCGTGCATCGCTTTGCATCGCGCGCGATAATAGTCACGAGTGAGACCCCCTTGACGCGCGCGCTTCGTCTCAAGATCGTCCGAGATACCGGGTCGACTACTGACGAAGCTCGCAGTTCTCAAAGCATCGCGATCGACGAAGGATCGATCGGTGACTCGCGCGATCCTGACCAACCTGATGGGATTCAGCGAAGAGGTTCAATGCAGATACGGCTGTTATCGCAGTACATCAAATGCCTAATCACTCTCGATGAAAATCACAAAAACGGAATCAAGAGGGAATAATCGAAAGACACTTGGCAAACGAGTTGGATAAAATTACGCCGAATTTTGAGAAACGGAGTTACCTGTGTCTTGAGATTTTTGATGTGCAGTGTGTGATGAGAATTAAATTATTTTGAAGGAACAAGAACGCACACGCGCGAGTGCCTTAAATTGGAATTATCGAAAGCTACTTGCTAATTGACATCCGAAGCCACTTAGTTTTATAACGACATTTCAATTGATACGCTTTAATGATATTTGGATTGATATTTTCATTGTTGCCTTACCATAATGTGTTAGCAGATTTATCGATTTACGTGACCTGAACGCTGACGTTCTAAATCATTAAGGTACCTTTGTACCGATTTCAACTTATTTTAATACGAACAACAACATCAACAATCTAAATATTAATATTCATGATTCCATATTGATTAATTTGATGACAATAGTTCAGTTCGATATTTTGGACACGTGATCTGGACTTCTTGTTAAACCAAAAATCGATCAAGAATACAAAAAAATAATAAGGACAAGATGCTTTTCAAAGGCAACAGTTCACGGCTGGAATTGTTGATTGGAAAAATCCACGCACACAAGGAACCGTCACAGGATGAGCAACACAAATCTAAAGGTCTGTAGATGTACCTCTCTATCTCTCTCTCTCTCTCTCTCTCTCTCTCTCTCTCTCTCTTTCTCTCTCTCTCTCTCTTTCTCTTTCTCTCTCTTCCGTATCTTTATTTTCCTTTTTGCCTTTCTTCTATCTCCGTCTGTTTTCTATCTATGTATACCTCAAGTTCTACTACTTTTCCACGAAGTTTAGCATTATCGTCGCGTTCTTTCATATTATTTCACAACTTTTTATTCGCCACTGCAGAACGGATTCACGTGTGGAATTTTCCACCCGTTAAATTTGCAAAAATTTGACTAATTTGAATGACCAAAAATATAAAAAAATATTATTGAAAAGTTAACCGATACAAAAGTATTCTCATTTAAACTCGAATTTGGAATTCAGTTTATATTGATACGGGAGACAATTTAGAGAAGGCAACCTCGCTGCCTGACTGTATTTACATTTCTTGTACTTATTTGTTCCGCATGGTAGAAGGAATTTATTCATGCGCTAGTGTTTACTTAGCTTGGTGCTAAGTAACTCTGATATATCCTTCCTTTACTTCAAAAGTAATAAATTAATTAATTAATAAGATAATAATAAATAATTTAAATTAATTAATTTTAATTAATAAGATATTAATAGATAATTTAAATTAATTAACTTAATTTCCCAATTTAACTTAAGTATAATAATTTTTTATTCTAGTTCTGTTAGAATTGCGTTTCAAGACCGAAGATAAATTCGCGCAGTTTTAAGGATTGGATATTAGTACATAAGAATTACATAGAATTATTTCAGCTCAACAGATCCAATTTATTTCTGAGATTTGTGATAATTTTTTTATTTTGAATAAATGTTTATTTACTATAAGTAAATATTTCGTTAGTATTATTTAAACAAATATTTAATAAAATTAAGTAAATTTTCTTTTCAGTATAATATTGGCAAGAAAAATATATTCTTAACATGATTAAATTTCTTCATTCATTAACATAATCTTTTTCTTGATTTTTGTTTCCAATCCTTAAAGATTACATGTATTTTTTAACAAAATGAAAGGATTATAAAAAAATTACAAATTTTTTTTATATTGTATTTGAAAGCATTATAAATACTTTGGAGGCGATTGAGGATCTGAATTAAAAATTATTTCAATAAGGATTAATAAATGTTTTTAAAAAATAATTAAGATGAAATGAGAAAATTTTCATTTGAATTATAAAATTGTATTATTAAATATATTAATATAAATATTTACTTTATTGAACTTCATGCGTATATAATGTTCATTTTTAACGAAAAGTACAAATTCCCAATTCCAGTCATTTTTGGAGAATCAAAGATTCTCTCTTTTTCTCTCTCTGTATATATATTTCTGTAATATATTTCTTAAAAAATCATTTGAAATCTTTTTGAATTGTGACGATTTTAACGATTTTTTATGAAGCTGAGTTAATTAACTTATTCATGATAATATCCTTTTGAAGTAAGGAAATGATATAGGGATTGTCATGATAAAAAGAGCAAGGGTTAGTGTATTTATAATTGCGTCTCATTTCACCATCTTTAGAATCAATACTTTTCGTGGTGATCTCTCTTTCGTCCCTCGTTTCTTATTTCTGGTCCCTCGCCTCGATCAGAAATCGCTGACTAATCGCACTCCGTTAAAGCAGACACGTGGCGACATTACACGTGCAGAATCCGAGCGTTTAAAACGCGATATGACATATGAAATTCATGATATTATCTAGTCTACTTAAACTTAATTTCAATGTAACTTAAATGTAACTTATCTAAATTCAGATATGATTAATTTAATCATATGTTAAGTTTGAGTCATACGACATATCAGCTAGCAGATTCGCTTGCTCAAAGTGTTCTAAAAATTACTTTCCTACTTTTTATTTTCCTTCCCAGTATTTATCTTTATGAATTTTCGATCTCTCGTTGAAGTCCTCAAATCGACTATTGCGTGTAAATTAAGCCCGAAGGCGAGCCAGCATGAATTATTATTACTTGCGTGAATCTCCCCGTGACAAATGTTCATCCTTATGCGATAAATAACTGATCTATAATCACATGCACGCATATATATGGCTTTTAAGCATACTACGATTGATGACGATCGCCAAGAACAAGTTGATACAAAATAGCTTCCTGACGAGCGCACTGTTAAACTTTGTCGCTAGTAATAGTAGCGATAATTTTACTGCATAATTGCGAGCGGACAGCGTGAATAATTACAAAAGACGTTACTTGGTGTCAAACATCAATGTCAATGCTTTGAAACGATTGTACGAAATCTGAACATATTGTTAAAGCAGTACAGTACAATTACCTTGTATTAATTTGTCGAAGTTGTCAAAGTGATTAGAAAAATATTTCCAACGATTCTAGAATCAAAATAATTTCAAGGAGATATTTCTAATTAACTTAAATCCAAGATGTCCCAAAATTCGTAACCCAAATATTATTATAGCAAAAAGGTTTTTGAAAAATTTAGTAAAAAAGTTATTTGTAAATTTTTATTTTAGGCAACAGTTTCTTAGATAAGGGTTTAAATATAAACTAAACGTTTAGATAGTCACCTGTGAATATTAGCGCGCTGGAGTGTGCGCTTACCAACGCTCACTAATACTACTGCACACGCGACTTATGGACAAATGGCTATCTATAAACGTGATCTGTAATTGACCATACTTAAACCTTTATTATCTCAAAAATTATTTAAGATAAAAATTTATAAATAACTTTTTTACTTAATTTTTTAAAAACTTTTTTACTATGATATTTTGAGCAAGACTCGGTAAAATAACTGACTTAGTTAAAATAAAAATACAAAATAAAATTTAAAAAGTATAAATAAAAAGTATAAAATAAGATCTAGAAACTTGCAGGGGTCGATAAAAAACTGATACGACTTTTTTAATAAAAAATATTAAAAAATTAATTTTAAAAATATAAATAATTAATTATATTTTTTAAATATAATTATTTAAAATATTAAATAAAAAATAGGTCAGAAAAAATTATTTAAAGTAATAAAACTGTTTTATCTTAAATAAAAAAATAAGACACTTATTTTGTAGTTTTCATTTTGAATAATTTCTTCTGACCTATTTCTTATTTATTATATTCACATATTCTAAGTAGAATTATTTTAAATACGATCGACCCTTAACTGATACGACTTATTTAAAATTGTAAGAGTCGTTAAAAAACTGTGACATACATTTCAAATAAAAAAGTATAAAATAGATTTGAAAAATTTATTTAAAATATATGATATAGATGATACGATTTTTAAGGAATAGAACATAGATAATATATAGATTTTAAAAAATATAAAAAATATATAATAGGTTTTGAAAACTTACTTAAAATATTAAATAAGAAATAAGTCAGAAGAAATTATTTAGAATAATAAATACTAAATAACTCTTTTATTCTTTTTTATTAAAAATACAATACATGTTTTAAATGACTTTTTCTTAAATACGACTGATAACCTGATTTTGAATTACGAATTTTGAAATCCTCTGTATAATAAAGTTTATTTATTTCAAATCTATTAATAAATCGAAACGGAATATAGTCGGATAACAGAATCCGCGATAGAAACCTTTTCTTTCTTAGATTGATTTAAAAAGTATTCACAAATGAGACATTAGTCGAAAAATTAGAACAGTACACAGGAGAAAATAAAGTGTTTGATATTTGTAACTATAATTGTATCATAAAATAATTATCAGGAGCTCCATCTTTATAATTATTGAGTATAGCTATAATGTATTACTAATTTTACATGCGTGCGTGTGTGTGTCTGTGTGTGTGTATATAGTTTTCTATAAAATAGTTCTACATAAAAAATTCTACAGTTGATACGTAAAATAATTATGAATATAGTATAGTAAAATAATTATTGTTAATAGCTCCACTTTTATAGTTATTAATGCTATATAAATGTATAAGTATAATTATTACTATTACTAACATTGTAGTAGTAATACTATAAAAATGGAATTTTTAATCATAATTATTTTACTATGCGCGCGCTATTACAATCACAAATACTAAATACTTCCAATATGGAAAAAGCAAAGAGGATATTTTCCCTATTCCCTATTGATGGAATATAAACCGTTGTCGCAGGTCCGTGTTACGCCACTGGCATGAAAATCCGCGCGAAGCGATCCGGCATAAGTCACAATTAACGAAGGCGTTAAGTCGGGGCCCCTATTAATAAGCGTCGTCGAAGCGCTCCTAAAAATAGTTCTAGGGGGCACAAAGCGACAACAGCACCGTCGACGGGATGCGGCACAGGTTGCCAACGCGTGCATCGGCAGCCTGCGCCGCTAAATGTGCCTATTTTCGCCGTGATGACACATCGTCGCCGATCGGACACGATCGCGAATTAAATAAGAGTTTCTCTCGAATTGAAAGGTCTCTTCTTCGAGTCACTCCCAACAGAAACTCTCATATAGCACAGATGGTATGTATAGTGTTCGTATGTTAACTGGACGCGTTCTCGCCATACATTTAGGAATTCCTGAAAATCACTCAATCAGAGGATTAGTTAAATATAACAATAACACAATAGACAGGAAATACATTTTCTATTTATAAGAATTGATTTGCTAAAATGCTTTTCTAGCTTTTGTACTAATCAGTCATGTTCTTTCACACCTAGACAGCCTTTCGCCAAAGTGACTTTCTCAGCGTCCACTCGAAGAACCATCGAAGCGTGTGAGTCAGTTGTAGTGCCAAATGAGTAAATGCTCGATGTAACGTGAAAAAATAAGTTTCTTATCCCTTCAAATATGAATCATGAATATCTGCACATATTTACACGATATATTATAAATTGCTTTATCTTTAAAAATTATTAATTTTCAAACAATAGAATAGAAAAAGCTACGAATCAAGCTAGGTTCTGGTGTTAGTTGAGGAATAAACATTTACTGCGTTCAGCAGAGAAAAACTAATCATTAACGCTTAGTGATTCTTTAATATATTTGGTCCTTACCTTTTTTTGCTGAATCTAAGTGTAGGAACTAATTATATTAAAGAATTATTAAGCGCTAACTGATTAATTTCCTCTGTAGAACGCAGCCATTAAGTTACAAAAAGAAACATGAAATAATGAAAATGTTACAAAGAACGATGTAAGATATGACAAACGTTTCTACACACACACTCTCATTAGATTATTTTTAGTATCGCGCGCGCGAATACAATGTGTGTAACAAAGATAAAAAACTTAAAAACAAATATTTATATATTAAAAAATGTATAGAAATTAATGACAATTTAATTATTTTGTTTGATGTTTTTCCTCTTCTGGAAATAAAAATATTTATTTTAATATCTTTTTCGTTTTTATCTTCTTATTTCATTAATTTCATTCTCGAGAATGATTCTTGAAAAAAACCCTAAAAATGCGATTTCCGATACGTATTCAAACCTCGTCTTTTGAGCGACACGATCATCACGATAATTCGCGCGGAAACGCGGAGTCTGGGCGAAGTCCTTCTAAGAGAGGAAGAGATCGAGCCTCATGAGGATGACGTGTGGGTGGAGGATACGAGCCATTTACGCAGCATCCATGACGGCGTACCACGATCGTCGTATCTCTCGTAATCTTCTGGGTGGCGGTCTCTCTCGCGCGCGTAGACTGGGATTCCGCAAAATCTCTTAAATCGACTCGTGGGTGTCGATCCATCGCCGGAGTCGAGGACAAATGAGGAAACGGCCAACTAGCCGAGTCATTTCCACCATTTACGCGGCGCGCCTCGCTTCGCTCTATCACGAAGTGCTCTCGGTGATCTCTCTGGTCTTTATTCCCGGCAATTATAAATTATTTGTGATTAACCGGCGTGACTATGCCGGAAGTAGCGACGCGACACGCTCCCTCAGCGACGTGGAGGAGATTAAGCCTGATTTTCAGTGACAGAGACGCGGGAGTTCCCTACTTGACCCGTTTGCTCCAAAGTTATTTGACGTTTCGCGCCAAAGTCACTACTTCCGAATCATTTCACGCATTTGGAAGGTGTTGGTTGCAATACATTCCGTCGAAGCACCAATGAATTATCGTACACTTTTCCATAATATGAATATTTCAGTTTCTTTGCGAAATGATACAGAAAGAATGATTTTGCTGAAATGATTTAAGTAAAGAGAATGATTTAAGTAAATATAATTATAAAATAATTTTGTTGGACCACCAAATAATTATGCAAAAATTCATGATGAGTAATACCTCAAATTTTTAACATTTTAGCAATTGGCTCGTATTTCACATAATTACTTAATGGGTGAATAAAATTATTGTCACAGATCTGTATCCAGCTAAATTGTTATATACTTTAAAAAATCATCATTTCCGTATACATGTAGTTAAAAATATTACAATAAGCTATCTAATTATAAAAATATATATTATTTAAACAAACATGTTACAATGTTTTGTAAGAATTACTTACTAGAAAAATCTCAAACGAGGCGTCAGGTAACCCTGAGTTAACGAAGAAGGCGACAATCCCACGAGATGTTCTGCCTGTTGAATGTAGCCTAGCACAATCAGGGGTCGTGCAAGACCGCAATCTTTTTCGAGCCAGTCAAGGCTCGGGGGTTAATGGTACGAGTTTTACTGTCTGCGCTCGTTACAAGAACGATATAAAGGGACACATAACAGGCGAGGTGAGAGATCCGTAACATTGTTACGCATACACATGACGAGTTCCTAAATCGTAAGTCGTCTCGAACGTAAAGCTCAGTCTACAATGCAAGCAAAGGCGTAGTTGTAAGTGGTTGCAGTTGTAAGAATTAACCAATCACAGGTGAATATTCTCCTCATATTCAACTATGATTGGTCAGTTTAACTGCAATCTTATAACTACGCTTACGCAATTGTAGAATGGGCTTATAAAAGCATTCTCTTCTTATGACACTCGCGAAGAGATCTTGAAAAATCTTCTAAAACTAAGATAGATAAAAAATTTGTTTATGATATCGAGACGATTGAGATTATTGAGATTCTTCTTCTATATTGATTTCAGAGGCCCTAGGAACCGGAAGTTCCTCGTGGCACAGCGAGGATGGCGGGCCCAACTCGCGTCGTGGCGGCGAGACGCCGTCCTCTTGCGCGACGCCGACATCGGCCAGCTTCCCGTCGGAACCCGAGGTTGATGTCGACGTCAGCGTCAATCCCGACGGCAATAACCCCGCTGCTCCGTATCCATGTCAATTCTGCGACAGAACGTTCCCGCGGCTCAGCTACCTGAAAAAACATGAACAGGTAAGAATGATATTCCTCGATAATTGGATATTCCCGGGCTATTAATAGCTCGTTATTGTTGGATACAAAGAATGCAAATGTACGTCTAATTCAAATATAGTTATTTGCAATGTAAAATGATTAGAGACAAAAATGTTAAGTCTGTAAAGAAGGATCAAGCGTTTAATTTTGTTTTGAAATGATAATATATTTCTTGTAAGACAATATTCTTAGATTATTATATGAATAATAAGGAGATTACTTATAAGAAGAAATTTCTATAATTTGATTTGAAAGGCTAAAAATTATATGATTTTCAAAAATGTTTTTAAAAGAAATAAATTAATATATTATATAATATAAAATTTTCTTAGACTTTATTTACATGTAAAGTAGACAGTTAAAAATATTTTTTGTGTCCTTATCACATAAAAAAAGGTACACATAATATGCAAGACGTATTAAAAATTTGTTTCTTGTCTTTGACACGCTTTCGTCAATTCTATCTGAGACAAAAAAGCCGAAAAAATTATCAACACATAGAGGTTATATTGGAAATAACACATAGAGGTTATTATTGGAAATAAAAAACCAATCGAAAATTGTTGCCAAAAAGCTGATTAACTGAATGTTATTTTACGTTACTTTTATGAACACTTTTAACAATATACTTTCGGAATTGCCAAATTTCCGAAAACACAATTTAGAAAAACAATTTTTTGGCCTGCCAAACTAGAATCTCCTTAAAGATAAATAATATAAGTTCAAACGTTTTTTTAGAAGTGCTGAGAAAATTCACATTTTTTCCTAGAATGCTTTATAATTATAAAATTTCTTATTTTTAAATTTCCAAAAAAAGTCATAAAGTAAAAAAAAGTTGAAATATTTTTTAGGAAATTTTATAAATTAAAAAAACACATAAAAACATTTTTTTTCATTTCTACAACAATTTTTTTGCCAAGATATATTACTAATTGTTCCTGCATTCCTATAAATACATTTCTTAAAAAATGCTGTGATTTTTAAGTCTCTCGCGTCCACTTAAAACTGCCTAAGACACAAGATCGTACGGAAAAAAAAATTAAACCGAAAGGATTAATAACATTCTTGACATTCATGACATTCGAACATTAATATGCGCATCGTGCATAAACCTCTTCTCTCTTTTCGCGCCATGTGAGAAAAAATTCGAGGTGTGATTCCGCGAGGTCGACGAGTCCTGTACGCGGGCAAGTTAACGCGTACATTTCCACGCCGCGAATGTCCTACGACATGCGAGCGCGAGTGCCATGTCCTGCGATGAAGAGACGCGTGGCGAGTTCTCTCCTTTGGATTTTTCTGTTTTGCATGGCGGTGGCATTAGCTCGTTCTTCCGCGTCCGAGGCCGGCCGACGCGGGTCATCATCGGGTCAGAATCTGTAGCGTTGTGTCCATAACAGGTTGTACCGGTTATCAGGTTATTCGTCCAGGTGGCGGCCGTCCCTTCAACCTCCTCTTACTTCTTCTTTCGCAACGCGAAAATCCATTGCTGTACATACACGTGCGTGTGTGTATGTGTGTATGTATGTATGTATGTGTGCGCGCTGTATAACGTGCAGATATGACTCCGATAATCAAGACGAGTACCCGAGTCTAGGCAGGCAGATAGCTGTCTATTTATGTTACGCACAATGCTGACTATGCTCTACCGACAATCGCAGCGAATAATCTCAATCCTTGTGAACCTATCGCGAAATTAACATTGACAGATTCACAAACGGCTGAATTTTGAAGATTCCCAATATATCATGAATTCAAAGATATCAAGATTAACCCTAGAACCTTATCGATATTGGATAATACTATTGGTATGTTTTTACATACGAGGAAGTGAGTCACCCTTAATACCAAATTTTCATACATCTCACACTTTTATTGACAACATATTTATAATGTAGACTTTTATAAATACAAATAATCTATAGGAACAGGAAATAAAGACCCATTACGGTCGAAGCTGGATTTTTAATGCTTAAATGATTCAATGTGAATTTATACACAGTAAAAAACATTTTGTATTTATGTTAAAAACAGTCCACTCAAATCCTTGTTAAAATTTTGTTGAATTTTTAATTTAACATAATTTTGATACATAATATGATTGTGTTATTTGAATATTTTGTGTTAAATTAAAATTTAACGTTTCTCAGTTAAAATAACACAATTTATAGGTAAGTAAACAAACAATAACATAAAAATAATGTAGTTTTAAAACATAAATTCTAAGAATAAATGAATAAAATGTGTGTGTTGATTTAATATATTATAAATGTTAATTTTATTGAAGAAATATGTTCTATGTACAACTAGTTACATATTTTATATGTAAAAAAGTATAGATATTTTGTTATTTTCTTTTTATAACAGTAAATATTTGTTAAATCTATATTACATATGTTAAATATCACAGAGGCATCGTCTAAATTAAAAATATAAAAATAATCTAATTTCAGTTAAATTTATCATTATAAATGTGTTAATTTAACGTAAAACTGTTTTTAAATTGTGTCAAAGTATTATGCTTCTTATGTTAATTTTTTACATAATATTTGTGTTATTTTTTAATATATTTATTTTATTAACACAAAAATTTGAGTGGACCGTTTGGAACATGTGAAATGTGTTAAATTTAACACAAACTTTTTTACCGTATATATACTATATATGTACATGTGTGTGTGTGTGTGTGTGTGTAATATTTGTAGTTATTTAATTACGCGTCGAATTAACTTTTTCGAACTTAAAAACGCAACTAAACTACTGAAATAACATCACAATTAAATTTTGATGCTCAATACAAATAATCTAATTATTAATTAAAAAGAAAAGAAAAAATAAACACACTATCAAATTCAATCTTGCTGACTACTGAAGGAATAGTATTTAATGATCTTGTTCACTTGTATGTCAAACTTACGTACGATGGCATTTTAGAATTAAACATCCAGAACTAAAAGAAATAGCGAAAAAAACAGCTAATAAGATTTAGTTATTTATCTCACATTCTTGGTCTTTCAGTGAGTTGACATTTTTATTTTAATTTACATCACTTTTAAGTTTACACAGAAAAAATAGTTTGTTAATAGCTATCAAATTTTTGTAGTAGTTATTTAAAATAGATTCAACCAAATTAACATAACTAAAACATAATTTTATCCTTACGGTCCTTTCTGTTTGGTCTTACTAAATTTTTGTGAAGATAAAATTACATTAATCAAAATTAGTTTGATTACATTAACCAAAACATTTGGTTGAACCTATTTTAGATAGCTATAACCAAATTGTTTTTTCTGTATATATGCCCAACATGATACTTATTTAGTTATTTTAATTTAAATTATTAATTCGCTTTCCTTGAATCTTTGGGAATGTTTCATTTCAAGAAAAAGTCACGATTTGTTTAAGACTGGGAAATAATCAATTATTTTTTTATATAATATTTTATATTAAATTAACAAATACAAAGGACTCTTAATGCTTAAAAACAATATAAAGAAAGAAAAGATATATAAGAGTCAGTTATAAAAATCGTAAAATATATTGGATCTATCATGAAGTTAGCAGATATTCTATTAATATAAAAATGACAGTTTCCGTAGCACTCTCTTTTCATAATTCTACAGTTCTATATAAAAATAAGAAAGTTTTGTATTTTTTTATACTATAGGTGGTGAACTTAATTCCTGCCATTTTTTTGTCTCCAAAATTGATTTGTTTCGAAGGGAAGAAGAATGAATACCTTCATCAAAGTAATTTCCTCCATTTTCTATTACTTTTTTCCATCTCTCCGGCAACAGAGTAATCCCACGACGGTAGAACGCGGTGTCTTTCGAGGCGATCCACTCATCGACCCATTTTTGGACTTCTTCGTAACTGGAGAAGTGTATGTCCGTAAGTGCGTGTTGCATCGATCGGAAGAAATGGTAATCCGACGGTGTCAAGTCTGGAGAGTTGGATGCGGCCCATTCAAGTTGTAAAATCGTCTGTTTCACGCTTTCCGCAACATGCATTATGCAACAAAATAACTTTGTCGATTGTTGGCTACGGATGATCTTTTTTGCATCAACTCGTCACTCAATCGGCATAATTGCTGTTTGTAGCAATCAGCTGTAACGGTTTCATTTGGACGCAAGAGCTTATAATACAGCACACCTTCCTGGTCTCACCAAATGCAGAGTAGGTCTTATGCCCGTGAATATTCCTCTTTGGCGTTGAAGCGGATTGTTGGCTGGGGTCCACCCATGATTTTTTTCCACTTGGAATTATCAAAATAAATCCATTTTTCATCGCCAGTCACGATGCGCCACAAAAAACTCTTTTTTCTTTGCCTGGCAAGCAAAAAAGTCGCGATAGACAAACGATTCAAAATGGCATTTTCTGACAACTCTGATAGCCACCTCTCTTCCTTATGAATCTTTCCCATGCAAGCGTTTTGAGACAATCTTTGGAGTAACATTTAACGCTTTCAACAACTCTAAAAGCGTTTGAGTTGGATTCTCATCAAGCAATTCTTGCAGCTCGACATCTTCAAATTTTTTCGACTGTCCTGAATGTTCTTTATCAAAATCACCATTTAGGAAGCGGAAGAAACCAAACTCTACATGTTCTTTCCGATGGAATTTCATCACCATACACTTCAATAATAAGCGATGCGCTGTGATTTTCTTGAGGTCAAAGTAGTGAAGAAGCACGTGTCGGAAAACAGTTTATCGCGGTTCATTTTCAATCAATTGGAAAATCGCTTTGGCGTTGAAAAATCTAACATGTGAGGATTGAATCACTTTCAGTGATATCTAAACTACAGAAGACATATGATTTCACATCGAAACTCGCCAGCACTCTCTAGCAGTGAGCGGCAGAAAATTAAGTTCACCACCAATAAAAGAACAAATACGAAAATATGGTATGCTACAGTTGGAAAAATGTGTTGAATTTAATATAAATAAAACCCAAACGGTCCACAAATTTTTGAATTAATTTTA